CCTGATTGTGAGAGGGTGCAGGCCAGGCTGAGGGACCCCACTGGTGCATGGATCCATGCACTGGGCCTTTAGTTATAAAAAATGCTGCAATAAACATAGGGTACATATATTCTTTTGGATTATGTTTTGGGTTTCTTCAGATAGATTTCCAAAAGTGGAATCGCTGGATCATAAGGCAGTACCATTTGTAATTTTTGAGGCAACTCCATACTGCTTTCCATAGTGGCTGCACCAATTTTCATTCCCACCAATAATGCACAAGGGTTCCCTTTTCTCTACATCCTTGCCAACAGGTACATTTACACAATGAAATAATACTCTGCTGGAAAAGGAAGTAAATTTTACTTTTTGTGACATCATGGATGGAACTGAAGGGCATTATGCTAAGGAAAATAAGCCAGAAAATAACAAGTACCATATGAATTCACTAATATGTGGAATTACTGAACAAACTGAATTATCAAGCAGAATAGAGACAGACTCATAGGTAGAGAGCAGGCAGACAGCTTTAGTTGGGGTGGGGGTAGATGGAGGGGTGTGGCAGTATTGAGCAAAAAAGAAAAAAGGAGAACTCATCGACATGGACAACAGTGTGGTGATTGCAGGAGGTGGGTGAGTAGAGGTGGAAGAGGGCATAGAGGGGATAAATGGTGATGGGAAAATATAAAATAGGAAAAGAAAAAAACAAATTTGTTGTTTGCACATCACCCAGATATGATATTTTGTTATAGCAGCCTGAAAGAACTAAGACAGATGGTGTAATGTACATGTTTCTGAATGTTTGTGTCCACCCAAATTTCATATGGGTGTAGGGGTTGTTGGATTTGGAGGACATTAATATTCTAAACCTCTAAAATCAGAGCTTATTCCTCCCATATTAATATTCATCCATCTTTAACAACTGTGCATATCTTTTTTGTTCCTTTTTTTAAAAGATGTATCTTATATGAATGAATCACCAGTTTGAAGTTATAGGTAAATAAAAGTTTCCATTTAACAATAGTCTCCAAAATATCTACCATAAAGGGTATTTCTGTGAAATATGTATTTATAAATATTTCCCTTCAAATTGAATATGCAAAATATATTTTATTTTTATATGATCTGTATCACACGATTCACTGGCATAGGAATCTTTCCCAGAGGTCTGGTTTTCCTGGACCTTTAAAGTCATCATCACTACCATCCCACTTCATTTGACCCCTTACTTACCAATTTCACCCTTGTTAGGTTGGAAGGACTGGTTTTACCTTATATCACTCTTCTTCCCTCTGATTTTTTTCCTTGTCATTTCCTTCAAGCTAGATTAGAGGAGTCACAGGAATTCAGCTCAGGCTTTGAGGTTGCAAACTGATTGTGCTGTAAGGAAATTTGATTTGAAAACTTCATTTGTCTTTTGGGATTCTTTTTAATATATTTAAAGTTCTGTATAATCCTATATAATAAAGAGGTAATATACAAATTGACCATCACTCCAACACACAAGATGGCTGGCAGGGGAGGGCAGTTGTGGGCGATCAGGCCAGCAGGGGAGGGCAGTTAGGGGCAATTAGGCCAGCAGGGGAGAAGGTAGGCGTTGATCAGTCTGGCAGGGGAGTGGTTAGGGGTGATCAGGCTGGCAGGCAGAAGCAGTTAGGGGCAATTAGGCAGGCAGGCAGGCGAGCAGTTGGGAGCTAGCAGTCCTGGATTGTGAGAGGATCCACTGGGATCGGGCGTAAACGGGCAGTTGGACATCCCTTGAGGGGTTCCAGAGTGGAGAGGGTGCATGTTGGGCTGAGGGACACCGCCCCTTCCGTGCACGAATTTCATGCACCAGGCCTCTAGTATACAATGAAAGGTTGACTTACCCTGTATTCAAAACTATCTGATAACTGTCATTGGCATCTATACTTACCAATTTCTGGGACTGAAGTGTAAGTTAACTTCAGTAAGAAGGTGGTACTATGTCTATATATCCAGGGTTTTTATTACTATCAAGCTATAAAAGAAAATTGATAAGTATTTGGCTTTGAAAGTCATAGTAGTTCTATCAATACTTCCTAGATATATGTGATAAATAGTAAATACTTTATATATTATTTCTTTTATTAATATTTTTGCCTGCAGTAAAAAATAATAAATGGAAAAATTGGAAGCTGATCTATAACCTAGATGAACATAATTATTTAACTGAGATGATCTTTATTCATGCTTCTCTCTATTTATTGCTTGCTTTGCACAGGAAGGAGCTGCAGGAACTGCAGAATCTTTACAAACAGAACAGTGCACATACAGCACAGCAAGCAGAGCTGATCCAACAGCTTCAGGTTCTGAATATGGACACACAAAAAGTACTGAGAAATCAGGAAGATGTTCATACAGCGGAAAGTATATCATATCAAAAAGTATGCTTTTATTCTGTCATAAAAATGTAAATTTACATGTATGAACCTATAAAAATATGTCAAATTCAATTTTTTCAGATTTCAACATTTCTTTATTATTCCCCTTTATATGTGATTCTTCAAAATTAAAAATGAAATATGATTCAATTTGGTAATATTTAAAATTTTGAGGGTTTTTTTTGGCTGTTAAAGAGGAAACATTTAAAATATAGATATAAATTTATTCTGTAGGATATTTTTTATTTGAATTTTGATAACTACTATGAAACATACTAGGACTATAGCCCCCAAACCAGAATGGATTTGGAGAATGGAATTACTTTTCTATTATGAGAAATTATTTGTGGGATTCCAGTTTATGACCTAAAGCAGTCTTTCATTATAGAATTTTTGTGTTATTTTATTGGCAAATCTGCACAAACACAATGTGTATGGTGGTGAGGTCTTCAGGTCAATATTTCCCAAGGATTTTTCTCTCTTTATTTTGTGTGTTTCTTTTGAATAGTCATTCTACTTTCCAGTTGTTTTAGGATTTCCTCAAGAATGCTTACCCAGCTGTTTAGGTTTTCTGACTGACTCAGCAGCAATAATTATAGCTAGTACTTAAAATACACATCTTCATTGAATTCTGTATATTTTGTATCATGTACTGAGTTATTCATATGACTATGTTAGTTCCTATATAGGCCAACCCTATGAGATTGATGTTATTCCCTCATAATAGTTAAGCAACCAAGGCGTAGAGAGGTTAAATTGAGCAGTCTGTGTTTCTGTTTTGTTTTGTTTAAACTTCCTCTTCTAAAAAATGCATCATAAAAATTCAATATCTGTAATTAATATAAAATAAACCATTAAGTAAACTTTAAACACATACTTTTAAATGATGCTTTGGAACCATGCTTTTCCATCTATATTATTTGTTCCCTTTGGGATTCCATCAGGATGTGGATACCAAGTGAAAGAGTAGTCCTAGCCTCTCCACTTCAAATAAACCAGCTCCACCTTTTTGTTTTATGTGAGATTGCCCATTATGCTTTTGTTTCTAAACCAGTCTCCATTGCTAAAATGACATGAAAAATTGGACCTTGTTAATAACTTAAATTTTTCTCTCTTTCATTTGCATATTTAACTCAAATATTTATTTCTTAATTTTTGCTTCCATATCATGGTAATTTATATTCCAATGTAGCATGTTATTCTGTGTGAAAAGAGCCCCATCATTATTTTTCAGCCACTGATTGTCCAAATTTGCTTTTTTTAAATTTTGCTCTAACATTGCAATTTTTAACTTTTTGATCTCCTTTAGATTTTTCATTTTCTGCAGGAGGTCTTGTTTTTCTTTTTTCCTTGAAAATGTATTCATTTTGGAGTTCAGGATTTTTTAATTTGGGAATGATCATACTGTTTTATTTATCACAAGTAAAGAGTGCGCTACTCTTCAGACTTCCAGTCTTCATTTATATTAAATTATTCATTCTAATCCTAGAGCAATTTACTTAATACTTGTCTCTATTCCTCTTCCACATGTATTTTTCTAAAATTTCCTCCAATAAATGGAGTAATTTAATAGTCCATTCAACAATGAGATAAAATTGTTTACTTAAAAATTAAATTTTCCAATATATTTTCACATCAATTAATTTATTTTTTTTCCAAATAATAATTGTGGCCTAGCTGTAAGACTCAGGTGAATAAAAAATAAATAAAATATTATATTAATAGTTTATCTCTAATTCTTACTAAGCTTGCTACTTTAAGAATTAGGTATTCTTAAGTTATTGTTTCTAATTAGTTTATGTCTGTTTCCTCTCTCTTTACTTTTTTTTGTTTCCCTCCCATTTCTCCTCTTTTTTCCATTATTAAGATGATTTCTATCATAGTATCCATTTCAGTATGTGAAGACATAAGAAAAACTGTTGCCCAGCCCTAGCCGGTTTGGCTTAGTGGATAGAGCGTCGGCCTGAGAACCGAGGGGTCCCAGGTTCGATTCCAATCAAGGTTACATGCCTGGGTTGTGGACTCAGTCCAATGTGCGGGAGGCAGCCGATCAATGATTCCCTCTCATCATTGATATTTCTATCTCTCTCTTCCTCTCCTTTCCTGTCTGAAATAAATAAAATATACTTAAAAACAAAACAAAACAAACAAACAAACAAACAAAAATCTGTTGCCCACAGTAGCAGGATGAGGGGTAAGAGACAAAGGTGAAGAGAGAAAACTGAAAAGAATTTTGAACACACAATAGAGGTGTGTCATATTTTTCCACAGATCTGTATAACAGACCATTAGTCCTATAAATGAAACTACCCAACAAGTAACGTTCATGGCTGCTCTGGAAGAAAAACACCCAGGAGAAATAAAAGTAAGCTAGTGTGTTTTCTTCCTCTGACTATGTAGCCATTTATATAAGTTCTAATAATTTTTCTACCTTTGTTGGTGTATACATGTGTACCTTTAAATAAAGGTGGGAATTGTATAATTATGATTTCTAGATCACCTAACATGTTTTGCATTCTAAATATGTATTTTATCACCTTTTGTTCTATTTAATCATAATTATATGACATGAGCTAATATCAATCCAGGAGAATAAGGAGTTAGGTTATGCATAGTTTTAGTTTAAACTGCATGTTAAATCAGAACTTTGCCTTCTCATTTTTCTACTATAAAGAGATAAAATTTTTCACCTGTAGAACTTACTGTCTCAATCAGAGTAGCAAATAGTATACTTACTCACTAAATATGGAAATTTTGTTTTTTAAGCAAATTAGTTATTGGGTCACAGAGCATATATTTTTATTTTTTTAAGGTAAATAAAATACCATTTTGTTTCTCAGCACTAATAAAAAAATATGGGCAAAAGAATGCTGTAGTCTCAGCCCCTGAAAATTAAAGGACTTGAAGTTTGGGGCCCTGTTTCTGGAGATAACTTGCTTTCTGTCTCTTGGAAATCCTCAATCTTTTTTCATTTTTTAATTTCTTCAACAAACTATTGCTTGAAGAATAATAAGCATAATAAGTTACTCAGGAATTATGAGGAGTATACTTCTAAAGTATATAAGGGAATATATGATTAAATGTTTGCATAGGCCAGAATTTTGCAAAAGATGCTGATACATTCCATATTATCGACTATTAGAGGAAAGAAATTGTAGAGAAAAGTTCCTCTGAAAACTGCTGTAAGCAGTTGTTAATATGGAAAGAGTTATTAACTCAAGATGCCTAAACCATTGCAGATGAATGAAATTACTATATTATCTAATTTACTCACTTGAGAACTTTTTTTTTTTACCCACTCTACTGTTATTAATGAGATGAGAATAGATGGTACTTAATCAGGGGACTGGAATATCCTAAACCGTTGCCCCTTGCAAGATCTAGAAAAATAAATATTCTATTATCCTAGGGATTCATCACCATAAAATATATTAGAAATGAAAAAATAATCTTAACTTCATTGAAGACTTCTTTTTTTTAAGCCAAATTTACTGGTAGACTGGGCCTAGAATTAAAAATGGCTAAAGGCTGTCTTTGCATTCTTTACTCTAAGTTCACAACTGAGTGGTCTTATTCCTATTAAATAAGTGAAGCCCATGCAGCTATCAAAGAAAATATGCAAGTAGGAGATGTACATTGGAATATGAATAAGGAAAAAGAGAGATTTTGTCCTAATTCCCGGAGCAGGGCTGGTCTAGGTCTAGATCATCTATTCCAGGCTTTCTCAGTTCTTTTTTATCTGTTGCTTGGAAGGATGTTTCAGAGAAAGACAGAGCTTGCCTCAGTTTCTAGAGTTGCCTACTCAGTGATATCAGATCAAGCCAGAGCAACTTCTGAATAGGAAGGAATACAACTGCATAAGCTGCATGGCAGAGAGAGCAAAGTAGAGAATACAGAAGATTGCTGTTAGTCTTCATTTTTATGGAAACAAGACAGAAGAGACAGGAGACGAGGAAAAAGACATTAAGATAGAGCCTTCTTCCATAAATGATTAGGCACAGAGCCTTATATCTGTGAGGGAAGATCTCAAGACATGACACTCAAGAGAAAAATATACCTTATCCTTGGCACCAATGGAAGTAAATTTATTCTCAGTCCTGATTGTACATTATCATCATGCCTGCACCTTGGGCAATGGGAGGGAAATGAGTTTTTCTTTGTCAATACTTATCAACGTTCACGATATTCTCAAATATCCGAAATCTGTAAATTCTTATTTATGTATTTATTTATTTATATATTTTATTTATTATTTTTTGGTTAATCCTCACCCAAGGATATTTTTTCCATTGATTTTTAGAGAGAATGGAAGGGAAGGTGGGAGGGGGAGAGAGAGAGAAACATCGATGAGGGAGAGAGACACATCGATTGGTTGCCTGCCTCCTGCACACTCCCTGACCAGGCCAGGGATCGAACCTGCAACTCAGGTAATGCCCTTGACCAGGAATCGATGTGCGGGTCGTCACTCTAACCACTTAGCAACACCAGCCAGGGAGTAAATTCTTTTTTCAAATATATTTTTACTGATGTATAATTTGAAATCTATAAATTCTTTAATAATATTACTTTCTATAATTTTCCTCCAAAGATGTTAATTTGTACTGCTTGGGTAAGGCTGGTTAATACTAAAAAAGCATACAAATAAGAGAAAGTGGTTAAATAACTTTTCAATGGAATGTTTGACTCTGTATGCTCTTGGGCAGACCTTCACTCATCCTAGTTTCAAATCTTTCAAGTCAGCTTAGCTCTTGTCTCCAGATTTTGTGCATTTCTTTTCCTGCCCTGAACTCAGTCATGAAAGCAGCAACATAGTACAGGTAGGTCACTGTAGGACCTACTCTGATCCCTTCATTGTTCCTCAAAGCTGTCAGGTTTCTACTCGCTCTTCCCTCCTAGAATATGTGACGGTATCAGCTGTGGAAAGGACATTGGACATACTTCCTGGTATAAAGGTAATTGGAAAGGAAAGTACAAATTTATGTCCTGAAATTCTTTATAGATCATATTGGCAAACCTTCCTTTATAAAAATTGCTTAGACTTTGGCTGTAAAGTGAAATGGATTGTTTAAAGTATCTATAATAATATAGAGGTATAATGCCTTAGAAAATTAAAAAGTATATTGAGCTAATTACATGTCAGAGGAATGGTTTGGAGAATCTTGTTTTTATGGCAAAGTATATGTCTGAGAAAAAGCATTAAGAGATTTCACAAGCCTTTTTTGATTGTAAACTTTTAGAAATTAAAGTATAGCATACATACATAAAAGTACTGTGCCATCTTTTGTGTAGTTAGGTTTCTTTCCATAAAGCAAGGCCTAATGGAAGATTCTCCCCATCTAAGAACCTGCTGTATTAGCTACATAATTTTGAGATCCCGTCGGGGATTTTACTTTGGTTACAAGATCTTCCTGTTAGCCATACATATAGAGAGAGATCTCACTATCAGCCATATATATATCTATATAACAACAACACAAATCTTAGCTCTTGGATCACTTTCTCAGTTTCATCAACAAATATACATATAGATTCTTTATTTAAATCAGTTACCACAAAGTGAATTAGGTCTCATTAAATCACAATCAAAAGTTGGGATTTTCATCAGAAATAAGTTCATGAGTATTGGAAAACTACCATTGTTAATCATATATGACTGCTTGATGCCACTTATGTACCATGTGCTATCTCACAGTTTTAATAAATTCTAATTTTAAATTTAATGCACATTGCCTTGAGTTAAAAAATTAAAGTTATATATCATGCCCTTCAGAACATTGCTTCTATTTTATCACACTTTGTTCAAAGTCTTTAATAATTCCCTGTTGTCTGTGGGGTGTCTTTACCTTCTGTCTATAGTCTTCTTGCCTGACTTTATCTCTTACCATTTCTTCTGTCCCTCCTCGCCTATTTTAGCAGTAGATGCTAATTTATCCTAAATGGGAATATATCAGTTAAGGTCCACCTTAACGAACTTTCAATGAAAGACTCTTGTTTTTTATTTCAAATGTGCATATTAAGTCTAATTAGGTTGATATGTCTTATGCTCCCTTTCTGTCCTTTCCTGTCACTGTACATTATTTTCTCACATTTCTGCCACCGTTAGAATGACCTTTTATTTTCATTCCATTTCTATAATACCACCAATGGCTCAGTTCAAGTCCTTTTTTAATGGAACCATCCAAGATTAATATAGCTAGCTTAAAGTGTTTCCATCCTCCTTAGAAATTTAGTACATTTTCCTATATTATGCTGGCCAATAATCATATTGCATTTTTAAATATCAGTTGTGGTTTTATATTGAGTGCAGGACTATCATGAATTTGTATATTTTTAATTGGTTATTAATAGATTTGGATGTATTTTTCAAAACAGCTTTACAATGAGTTACATATTTGTTTTGAAACCACAAAATCAAGTGAAGCTATGCTCCGGCAAAGTGTTGTTAGCCTTCAGAATCAGCTATTTCAAAAAGAGCAAGAAAATGCTAAGTTAAAAGAAAAGCTTCAAGAATCAACAGGAGCACCTTATTCTTTACCTCAAGAAAGCGATTCAGATCACTCAGAACAGGTGAGAAATGTTTTCTAAAAAATGTTGCCCATTGCAATATCATATTAAATCCTCTTTTACAATTGACTAAAACTAAAATTTTAAATAATTTTGTAAGTATTAGGGAATAAGTTGTGGCAGATAGTTTTCATTGTGCTATTTTTTATAATCTTTGTATACATGAGTATTATACATAATATGGATTCATATAGAAATGCATCTACAGGTTAAGTCTGGAATAGTTATTGTGATTATACATTTTGCTAATTTACACTAATGAAGAGAAATTAATAGGTCATGGCCATTTTGAGACTTTTTAACTGAATGAGTTAATAGAATGGAAAGAGTATTGGATGGGAAATGTCATAAAGTACTTGTTATAATGGTATATGGTACTTAATACCTTTTAGTCCCAGTTCTGCCACTGCCTTGATGCGTGATTTTAGACATTTCTAAGTTGAGCTTTCTACCTATATCCTGTGTTATTAAGTGAGGCAGTACAAATGTATAGATAAATATGCAGGTTCAGAATTCAAATAAATCTGGGATCAAATTACAGCTCTGCCTGTGAGCTTTGTGTACTTGAACAAATGTCTTTTAATCCTTTCAGCCAAAGTTTCCTCACAAATAAAATGTTGATAATAATGGTATCCATGTCATAGAGTTTTTGAGGATCAGTATTATAATTCATGACAAGAGTAGAGTTTGACATATAGCAAATATTCATTTGTACTTCTTTTTAGATAATTTTTAAGGTAAGTTTCATCTCTAAATATATATTGTAAAAATATCTTATACCTATACATTTATTTGTGTTTTTAAGCACCCACCATTCCTTTAAATTTTACTATTTATGAATTTAGATCAGAAATGGAATTAACACAAACAGGTAATTGGGTGCTTAAATGTTTATTAATGATTGAAGAACAGTAACTTTCAAACCTAGTATATTTTGTCTTACTATCTAATACATTTGAAAATTGTATTTTTTTATGTTGCATATTTTGGACATCAGATTCACAGAATTTCATTAATAATAAAATTTGTATTATGGCACAGTATTATGTTATATGCATAGGCCTATTTATTTAATTAATTTGTTTATTTATCATATTAAACATCCTTGGTCTCACCAACTAATTCAAGGACTGTAACATTACTAATGACTGATATTTACTTGTATGCTACTTGCTTATCTGGTACTCTGATTCTCTCACCAGACATGACTACTAAACTGTTAATCATTTTGATGTTTTTTAAAAAAATATTTTTTTATTGATTTCAGAGAGGAAGAGAGAGATAGAAACATCAATGATGAGAGAGAATCATTGATTGGCTGCCTCCTGCACGCCCCCCACTGGGGATCGAGCCTGCAACCCAGGCGTGTGCCCTTGACTGGAATCGAACCCAGGACCGTTTAGTCCGCAGGCTGATACTTTATCCACTGAGACAAACCAGCTAGGGCCATTTTGATTATTTTATTTTATTTTTTTAAAATATATTTTATTGATTTTTTACAGAGAGGAAGGGAGAGAGATAGAGAGTTAGAAACATCAATGAGAGAGAAACATCGATCAGCTGCCTCCTGCACACCCCCCACTGGGGATGTGCCTGCAACCCAGGTACATGCCCTTGACTGGAATCGAACCTGGGACCTTTCAGTCCGCAGGCCGACACTCTATCCACTGAGCCAAACCGGTTTCGGCCATTTTGATTATTTTAAAAAAGTTTTAGCACATATAAATTTATGTGGAAATTGTATATTGTTTATTTTGTCATTTCTAAAAATGTATCATACTGTATTGTGACTTGGTGTTGGGCAATTTTGGCTCATTATGTTATTAAGATTCATCCATATTGTTTGGTATAACTGATCACTTATTTGTAATGATTTAAATATATATATACATTACGACCAAATGACTGAACGACCAGTTGCTATGATGCTCACTGAACACCACGGGGCAGACCCTTAATGCAGGAGCTGCCCCCTGGTGGTCAGTGCACTCCCACAGCCAACCTCCCATGGTGGGCCAACCTCCCGCAGTGGGCCAACCTCCTGCAGCCCTCCCCATCCCAGGCCTGCCGGCCCCAATCACCCCCATAGGGACTTGGCAAGACAGCCATGATTGGCCCCGATCACCAGCCAGGCTGAGGGACCCCACCTGTGACCGAATTCATGCACTGGGCCTCTAGTTTTATTATATGTGATTATATCTTAACTATTTATACATTCATTTGTAGATGAATATTTGGGTTATTTCCATTTTTTGGCTATTCCTATATAATAAAAGGGTAATATGCAAATTGACCCTAAGGGCAGAATGACTGGGAACAACCGGTCGCTATGATGTGCACTGACCATCAGAGGACAGACGCTCAACATAGGAGCTTCCCCCTGGTGGTCAATGTGCTCCCACAGTGGGAGCTCTGCTCAGCCACAAGCCAGGCTGACGGCGGCCAACGCAGCGGCAGTGGCGGGAGCCTCTCCCTTCTTCTTGGTAGCTCTAAAGATGTCCGACTGATAGCTTAGGCCAGTGGTCGGCAAACTGAGGCCCCTTGAGTGTGGCTCTTTCACAAAATACCATGTGTGGGCGCGCACGTACAGTGCGATTGAAACTTTGTGGCCACACTCAAGGGGCCAAAGAGCTGCATGTGGCTCGCGAGCCGCAGTTTGCTGACCACTGGCTTAGGCCCACTCCCCCGGGGAGCAGGCCTACTAGTAAGCTGGCAGGTTGACATCCCCTGAGGGCTAGTGGGCTGCCAGAGGGATGTCTGATTGCCAGCTTAGGCCCCATCCCCTTTTCTCATTTATTCTGTTAACATGGTGAATTGCATTGGTTGATTTCCAATTATTTAATTGTGTGTTCCTGAAATAAACCTAACTTCATTGTGATGTTTTATTATTTTTATACTAGAGGCCTGGTACACGAAATTCGTGCACTGGGGGGGGGGCAGTCCCTCAGCCCTGCCTGTGCTCTCTTGCAATCCGGGACCACTCAGGGGATGTCCGACTGCCGTTTTAGGCCCATGGGGATCGGGCCTAAACCAGCAGTCAGACATCCCTCTCGCAATCCAGGACACTGCATGCACCAGTGACCATACTTTTCATACAGATGAAAGGCATCTTGCTGTTGTATGGGCAGCTACATTTTTTTGCCCTGATTATAAAAAGTAGTACATAACATGATCCTTCTGAGGCAGTAGTACCATTTTCACCATTTTATGGGTGGAAAAACTGAAGCAGAGAGAAGTTAATTAATTGGCTTTGTCACACAGTTATAAGTGTCAGAATCAGGGGTGACCACAAAATGTGCAAGCCAGAGTCCATGCATGTCATCGCTGCATCATCCTGTTTTTTCAGTGTTAGAGTAGTTTTGCCAGTTTTTTAATTTTTGAATCTCAGAGACTGTTCCTAATATATAGGAATGCATGTTCATCCCCATGTAGAATAAATAGGATGTAGACAGTTTGTAGATTTTTCTGATGAATTAAAATTAAGCAGCCATGAATCTCTTTTTCAAATGCTGCAGAAGCCAACTTCCTTGTTGAACTGTGTGTGGGATGTAGCAGTTTATAAGCTGTGACATAGTCACTCGCAATCCAGGACCCTCAGGGGATGTAGCAGTGCACCAAGCAGCAGGTGGCCAGGGAGGAGCCTGAACTGGGGCCAGGTGCCCTGCCACTCACTCTCATCCCGGCCCACTGTGCCTGCTGCCGCTGCTCCCCACTGGTTAGTGTTGCTGCCGAGTCAGGAGAGGCTCCTGTTGCCACAGCTGCTGTTGCTAGCCATGAGCCCAGCTTCGGCCTGAGCAGTGCTCCCCCTGTGGGAGCGCACTGACCACCAGGGGGCAGCTCCTGCATTGAGTGTCTGCCCCCTGGTTTTCAGTGGGCATCATAGCAGCTGGTTGGGTTATGCCTTTTCTTTCTGGAATCTTGCTTGTTAGATTTTGCTGTCAAGGTGATGCTGGTGTCCTAATATGAATTGCAAAGTATTCTCTTTTACTTCAATAGAAGAGCCTGTGTAAGACATATTTTTTTGTTTGATAATAAACACTCAGTGCTTTCCTTCTAAAATAAAGAACAGGTCAGTTCTATTCAATATTGTATTGGTGATTCTAACTAGTACAATAAGGCAAGAAACAGCCCTGGTGGGTGTGGTTCAATGGTTAGAGTGTTGGCCTGCAGAACGTAGGGTTGAGGATTCGATTCCCAGTCAAGGGCACATACCTGATATTTTAACACCTCTCCTTGGCAACTGATAGAAAAACTGATTAAAATAATTAAACACAAAAATCCCAAATCTCTCTCTCTCTCTCTCTCTCTCTCTTTCTCTTCTTCTCTCTCTTTCATCTGTCTCTGTCTCCTTCCCCCTTTCTCCCTTCCAATCTCTCTAAAAAAAAGTCAGTGGGAAAAATTGACAACAAAAAGGAAGAAACAAAAGCATAACAATTAGAAATAAAGAAGTAAGACTTTTTTTATTCACAGACAACATAATAATGTGTATAGAAATCCAACTTAAAAAAAACAAACCACAGACTGAATCTATAATAAAGCTCCTAGAAATAGTATGTAAATTTAGCAGTGTTGCAAGATACAACATCAATTTTAAAAAGTCAGTTGTATTTCTAAATACTAGTAACAAATAACAAGAAATTAAAGAGTACTATGTTTAATAACATCAAAACCTATGTCATAATTAAGGATAAATTTGACAAAATATACACCAGAGCTATCTACTAATAAAAAAGAGAAACATGGTAATTAGCGTACGGCTGCTACCCTTTTCATTGGCTAATCAGTGATGTTGCAAGATACAACATCAATTTTAAAAAGTCAGTTGTATTTCTAAATACTAGTAACAAATAACAAGAAATTAAAGAGTACTATGTTTAATAACATCAAAACCTATGTCATAATTAAGGATAAATTTGACAAAATATACACCAGAGCTATATACTAATAAAAACGAAAGCAGAGTAAAATTCAAAAACATACAAAAATGGATAGCTATGCCAAAT